AGCAGTCAACTGATACAACTGGGTCCACAATCGGTCCTCCCAGTCGGCATAGGCAGAAAGAACACGAAAACCGGAGCCCTGATCTTGAATCTTGACCCACAGCCCCTTCTGTCTCTCCAAAAAGGAACTCTTTTCAGGTCCCCCGATGGGCTTCCGACGTTCGAAGGTCCTGGTCATCCCCGGTTGGTGTGTGCATGTGTATACTGGTAGTGCCTGCAACAAAAGCCTGGTCAATATGATCGACCGTCATCAAAGTGTCAGCTCAGTGTTGACTCGTTTTCTTGCACGCACACGTACAGCAATAAAAATATCAACTCACGAGTGTGTTAATTCAAAAACTTGTTCTTTCACACGGCCTCCCACAGTTGGTCGTGCTTCAAACACGGCCTCCCACGCCCACTTCTGTCATGTCACGTCACGTCCACTTCTGTACACCAGTCGAACTCTCCAAGGTATCCTTTTTTTGCCCAGATGAATGCACTCACCCAAGTATTCCCAAAAATAGATGCATGCTTGCGAGAAAACAGAGATGCTCTCCCATTGTGGAAAGATGTTCGTAAGCTTTGTCACCACCAAAGCACCCGCACTGTCCGGCCTGTGCGAGATGCTGGAAGGCCGAAGGCCCAGTCACCTGCGCCTGCCGAAGGCCGCTTCCCTCGGAGATCGGTTCCCGAACGCGCAAACCCAGGAAGACACCGATTTCTTTGGCAAACCATGGGGGTTCCCCATTTTTCTCAAAACCCGGACTTTCCAACCAGGGAGAGGGGCAAGTTCAATCCCGCTCGGGCATCCACGTCGGTCGAACCAAAATCCTCTCCTGGCCGTTGGTCGAGATGGGCGAGGCCTTTTTGTCCTGGCGACGGCCGCGGCGTCACCGTGGCGTCACCGGCTCGACGCACAAACCAGGTTCCAGGATCGAGACGAGACGGGAGCCCGCCCTCCGCTGAAGGTTTGGAGGGAGAGCCACCACAAGATAAAGGACATGGCTGATCTGGATGCTAATCCCCACTGAAGCATCCATTTGGAGGTGCCATGGTCGTAGATCATCTGTGTTCTAGTTCATGGTGGCGTCACTCCAAAAAAATATGGGCTCAATCGACGTGCCAAGAACTTCAGAGACTTCTCAAGATCCATGTCCCTGGTCGCATCTGAGTCTGGCACCTGTCCATATGGCATGAATTCATCTTCACCTGAGTTCAAGCACCAGAGGTGCGTCATCTCCAAAGTTCATTAGGGTTTGCGGACAATCAATATGAAAAATCTATTTGCCTGGCCTTTTCAGAGGGTGGCATAAGTAAAACTTCATTTCAAGCACAAGAATCTACTGCACGACTGTGCCAGTGGGTCTTACGATCTGCAATCTACTAAAAGGTCCAGTTGTCGCTGACTTGCTGATGCACTGTCCTTCGCATATCAGTTCTCTTGATGCAAACTCATGACCCTTCTCAAAAAGTAAGTTTCAACGAAGGGAAAAGACTAGGGCCGAGTGTTCCAAGCCCTGAGACCCAAACTCGAGTCGCTTCCCAGATGTGATCGCCTGCTTCTACCGGGTTTCAACGCGCCCGACGAGAAAGCAAGAAAGCGAGAAACACCCGGAAAAAAAAAAGGTGCTCACAATGCGAGGATGCTTCAAGTATTTGCTGATTTGATGTTCCAAACTTGAACACCAACAACATGATCAACCTTTCTTTCAGCAAACATGGAAGTGAACTCAACCGAGGTTGGTTATTTCAGCATATTTCAACTACTGGAACCCCAGCTATCCAGCTATTCATGAAAGAGCACCTAGCGATCATTGAATTTGAGTTCGGACTAGTACGGACTAGACTACACACGTTTTTGGGATTCCCAAAATGCGTGGCTCCAAATAACACTTGGAGCCGGCGTTGATAGACCTCTGGAAGACGATGTTCCCCAACAAACCCGTGCATGGTCTTGGGCATTGCAACTAATTCAATGGGGCGTGGCAGGGTTGTGTGCTTGGAAAGAATCATTATTGGCCTAGCAGCACCTTCTTCAAGATGTGTGCAAATCACGAACCTGTTTTGAAGACCTCTCTATAAATATATATATATATATATTTACCTAGATCTCGCATTCCCCATGTATCCCAATGTGTCCAAAACCTTGAAAAAAAAAAAGATAACTCTTTTTCAGTCCTCCGCATCCATTCCAAATCCGAATCGGATCCATTTGGACATTCTTCGGTCAACCGAACCGTTTCACGACCCAAGGCACGGCTGGCTGCGAGAGGTGGGACCTCGTTGGGCGATCCGATCCGCCCACGGAGCCGTGTGCTCGCACACGGCCGACAACGGCTTTTTGAGGGTTTGCTCTTTGGGTGTTTCTTTTTCGGTGTTGGTTCTCAAAATGTCCAAATCTTTGGTGGGTTTGAAATGGCCAAGCAGCCGGCTGCTGGATGAATGCTTGTGGATGAGATTGTCGCTGAAAGAGGTGATCATTGATGCACTCCGCGCCAAGCCCCGCCCCAAACGGTGCTTCAGTGTCGCCAGGCGCGTGAAAGCCACACGTTTCGGTCCACCATATGCTTAAAGGGGATGAAACATTTCCACCAACGGTTGTGGAAGAAAGTTACACTAAACAAGGGCATCGCTGTTAGTAACAAAGGGCATCGCTGCTAGGAGCAAGTATGCTACTCCTGGGCATCGCTACTAGTAACAAAAGGCATCTGAAACCACTGAGCCTCCGAGCTTTGAGAGCTAGGCGCCTCAGCAAGGATGCATGGAGTTTCCGAGAACCGTGCGGGGGCACATGCGTTGGGCGCACATGCAAAACCCTAGCCAAACCTGGCGCCGGAGCGGAGCTGAAAGGATCCTTTCAACACGACAGAGACTACCGTAGTACCGCACTAACACGACACAACCTCTCTACCGGTTCAATGTTTGTTTGTTGGACATAACTCCTGAGAATGCGGCCATGCACAGCTCTGGCACAAACTTCTCGCAAATCGTTTCATAGATGGGCCTGCCACACACACACACACACAAGAGCAGGAAGTCCAGACGGGCCCGTGTCCCTTGTCTAGAATCTGTCGAAACATGTAGGAAACTGCGGATCAAAACTCCTGCCACTCTCGCCGCGTCCGCCTCAAGACAAAGCCTGGGATGTCTTTGTGGACGTCCTGGAGAAATCTCGAGCCCAGTCACTCACCTCCGAGAACATCGGCCCCCTGAAAAACATGGGACAACCGTCCAAAAGAACACCTGCCACCATTGACTGTCAGAATCAGAATCCAAGCGATCCAAGTGTTTTGCGGAAAAGCCATTCCTCCCCTGGACGGGTCTACTCTTCTTTTCTCCCATTCGGAGTTCTCTACACATCCCAAAAACACCCGTCTCACCGAAAAGCTCCAAAAAGCTCCGGTTCCTTCCACGCCCCGCAGACGGAGCCCACACGGGAGCCGACGTCGCAAAGGCGTCGCTCCTCGAGGCCCTTGTTCATGCTGGCCCATTCCTCATAGCTCATGGCCTGGCGCCGGGTGGACCACGCAGGTGGGAAGGGCCCTGGTGGGAAGGGCAGGCATTTTGGGATTCCCACACAACGAACGCAGACCACACTGACCCATTGGTGACTCCACTACGCAGACCGGACTGTTTTGATCTTCTGGCGTTCCCACAGGGTTCGGCATTGGTGCAACTTCGACGGCCCTTGGAACTGTCAGAAACCAGCGACGAGGACGAGCCGCAGGGCATAGCTCAGCTCGGGCACACCCCTTCTGTGTGTTCTCGAGGCACACGGAGAACCAAAAAAATGGGAAATGAGGGACATGGACCCTGGTTGTTGGTCTCTTCATTCATGCTTTCCTTCAAAAGTGAGGACAGCCCCAAGTCACGGCCGAATTCCCTCACACCCCACGGATCGTCCGCGAAACCGTCAAAACCCAGAAGAACAGGTGGTCAAGCAATCACCGACCAAGGAATCCAAAACTGCCCACATCAACAGGACCAAGGTACCCCAGTCTCTCCACAGCCGTCGCCGTGAATGACTTGATGCAGCATGACCGTGGAAAACATCAGCTGCGACCTCAAGCCATATGTAATGATGGTGCGAGTCAGTATCAATGTTGGCAAACTAGATCAGAACAAAGTAGACTTCTCTAGTTTAGTTTTACAAGTTGCATGGCAAAGGAAACCAATCCCCACCAAATGAAAGCTCTCTACGAGAGTTGCAAAAGCTATATATTCAATCATCATGAGGCCAGGAGCGATCGGACGCTACTAGGGGCTCCTGGCCTTACTACTAGGAACAAGAAGCTACGAACGGGGCTCCTGGCATCGCTACGAACGGAAGCAATCAGGGTTTAGAGTTAGCGGCTAGCTTGGATGATCTGAAATCACCACTTGTGCGCCATGCACCGTGCACTACGAGCCTCCTATGAGACCAAACATATAAAAAGCCTCCAGGCTCACGGTAGCCACACTCGCCACATCATCAAAGCATGGTTGCTTGATCCCTTTGAGGCCATGGCAGCACTTGCGCGCTGGTGATGTATTGCAAGAGCCCATGGCCAATCTGCAAGGGTTTCCACAAGTCGCCCGCGCACGGCTTGTCGCGAGTCGCGAGTCTTGGTCGTTGGTCTTCTTTTGTGTCATGAGCTTTCTAAATAGTAAAAAGAGCTTTCAATCGATCATTTGCCCTCTTCTCTTCAGACCTGGTGGGGGTTCTCAGAGGAAAGATGCGACCACTTTTGGGTCAAAGGAAGCCGGAAAGGAGCAACGACTACCACGGTGGGGTGGGCAAAGCTGTTTGAGAAGAGGCACATGAGAGTTCTGACCCGCTTTTTCAGCAAGCTCCAAAGCAACTGAGCTTCGAGCCAGCTCTCTTGACAGACTGGCCTTGTCTTCGTCACCCACACCCTGCCGAAAGATATGCAGTGGAGACATGGCTAGTGCAACAGGCCTAGGCTTCATGAGCGTTTGCTGTAGATCCTGCTAAGCTTGTACAACTGTTGACGTCACAATCGCAACCACGCCACTTTACATCCTTTTGCCTGAGTTCTCTCGTCTGCGGACCTTGGAATTGACTTTCTCCAGGGTCACCAGTGACGTACAGCATGTCATTCCTGTTCCCTTTGGGAAACTGCGCCAAGGTTGAAACTCCAATGATCTGAGCTGCCTCATTTCTGCAGCTTCTTCACCTCAGTCTCCAAGTTCTCCACCTTCTGCACCAGGCTCTTCAGCACACTGAGAATCTCATCTCTTTCCTCCCCCGCCTTTGCGACCGCGGCGACCGCCTTCGCCTTCGCCTTCGCCTTGCCCGCCGGCTTGGCCTTGGCCTTGGGCGCGCGCTTCTCAAGGCGATCCCCCTCCTGTTCGTCTTCCGGCAAGGCCTCCACAGGGATCGCTGCTCGCAAGGGAATCCACTGATCAGGCGAGATCTTAGGAGCAAAGAAGAGCCCTTCGATACGTTCCACGGTGCAGATGTCACCATGCATGAAAGGACATGGAGCTCCAGGGTACTGGGCAGCAGGGATATGACTGTCAGGATGCAACTTCCGAAGTTTCACATCTTGCCCCTCCTTCAGCTCATGCTTGCTGATGGTTGGCGGGTTTTGCATCTCCTCTTCCCAACCTTCCATGGGCTTCCATCCCTTGTCAGGGATGTTCAGACTCTCACACTCCACTTCGTAGTAATGGTTCTCGGAACCGTACACGTTGTTGTAGAGAATCCATTTCCCCCCGTCATACATGAGGCGCCCGTCTCCAAACGGGTATTGATAGTATTCAGGCGAAAAGGAATTGTTGGTCATGACGTAGATGCCATTCACCTCGTTGACCCCATCATCGGCGTCGTCCCCTCCGGCGCCCGAGACCTTCAGATAGCTGTGCACCGCCGCAATACTCAAGGCGGACTCCTCTCCACCCACGGGATAATCACCAAAGGACATATTCTCGGTGTCCCAGCAAACGCTCATGTCAGAGGAATTGCAAAGCTCATAGGTAATTCCGACGGTTTCAGGCGCGGAATTCTCGCTCACGCAAATGCCACCGGTGCGAATCTTCAGCAGCTTCTTTGCATCCGAGGCTGCCCGCATGGTGTGAACCACTGGATCGGCCACCGGATCCGTTTCGCGTGGTCCAGGGTTTCGCACTTGAGCCAGGTCGAAGGTGGGAAGCCAGCTGCCGGTCACTCAAGTGATGCTTGGTCGTCTCAGAAATCTCAATATCTTTTTGGGGGTGCAAATCACAAAGCAAAGCATTAAATCTCAATTCGTCTTCTCACCCTCTTTCGGCAACCCGAGATCATGCAAGACAGAAAACGCGTCCTCTGTCGGCAACATCGATGGGGACAAAGCTCGATGCTTACGCCACCTGGAGTGTGGCAAATCACAAAAGGGTGTTTCTTTGTGTTTGTGGTTCCCAACTTGCAACAGCTTGGACCCAATGCTTCTTTCAAAAGCAGGTACTGTCAGAAATGCAAATTGTTCTAAATTCTAAAGCAGGGGGCACTCAGTGTAATTGTTGCTTGAGTTAAGAATGCCTAAAAACGCCAACATGTCCTGCCAAGTCAGCGGCCCACCAACTGAGGAGGGGCACCAGACCAAGGCAGCTGCATGCAACAATCTCTCCATTCGATCCATGTCCTGCGACGCAGTTACCTTGGAAACCTTCACCGGAGTTGTGCCCTGAATCGTGTGGAGGACCAAACAGTTGTATAGATCTTCCCAATCTGTGAAACAATGTCAAAGAGGTTTACGCCTTCACACCTGAAAGTTGGATCTGACTGAGGCAGGCCCTGATCCTCAAGATTGACCGCGTGCGATACTCAAGGTTACTCACAGAGCCCTGAAGGGCTGTTGTTCACACAAATATTCTTGGCTGGATGTTTCTACTCAAAAAGTGGCCCTCGGACTCAGTCTTGACGACGCCCCGGTTTCAGAAAGCATCCCAAGTTTGCTGTATATGTATATGTTTTCTGTGCAAACTGGCAGACTCGTGCTGCTGAAACCACCGTGGATGGTTCAAAAGTTCGGTTAAAAAAACAAACAAAACAAAAACGTTATCGCTGCCGTTGCGGACATCGATTTCTCAAATTGTTGGCTTTAAAAAAATGTAAAAGTAGAATAATCAGGATTATATATGTGTATATATATATATAGTTATATCTATACATATATATAGTTATAACTATACATATATATATATATGTATGTGCGATCATGTGTGCATATTTTTTCTGCACTCCTTTTCTGTGCTAGTCGGTGACCCCCTTGGGTCGAAAACACTGCGGCAAAGTGCCTTGCATCTGCTTTCCGCAGGCTTTCAACAGCTGCTTGCTGGGTGTGATGCAGCCGGCTTTATTATGGCCATACGCCATGCACTCTGTGCAATGAACTTTGGATCCTTTTCTCCAAAGTTTGTGCGACTTGTGACCCGTCCACTGAGCTGGCAAAGGCCAAGGATCGTTCCAGCACTCTGCCATGCTGAGCTCTGTCAGCTTTTCCTTTGAAGAGTTCTTCAAAAGTCTTTGGCCACATCGTTCACACACGATGTAGTGCTTCTGGACCACAAACTGGTGTGGAGCCATGTTGGGCGCCACTCCATCGACCAGGTGACTTTTGTCAGTGTGGGAGGACCACATGGAGGACTTATTTGGGTTGAAGAGTTGGCCAACTAGCTGGTCCCAAAGCTGGGTAATTTGGATGGCAGCTCGCAAATCATGAATGTGGTTCAACTTGCACCACAGATATGAGTCATCTACAAAGGCCCGCGCTGAGATTCCTGGCAAATGTTCCAAGAGATGGTACCATACTTTATTGTACATATTCATAGCTAGTAGGGAGAGACTGCAACCTTGAGCAACTCCGTTTGCAGCGGTGGTGGCAATCGGACGGACCCAGTTACGGTATGCCATGTGGCAATGCAATGACCGATAAAGCTTGACAAAGACATTCACGAGCTGCTTTGGCAAACCAAAGGCAAGCATGAGCACAGCTGCATAAGCTGGAACGATGCGGTCCAAGGCTTTGGATTTGTCGAGCTTGACACCAACCACCGGTGAGGAGTCACCTTGGGCGAGGTCCAGTTCAAGTCTAACTTCATTATATAAAGAAGCCATATGACGGTCTTGGACCCCTCCTAGAATCGCCGGGGGAAGAGATGCAAGCAACCAGGATTGCAGCTGTCTATATCGACTGCCTGTATAGGCCAAGAGCAATGCCGGCAAAACAATGATGATCCGTTTATTTAGGGCAGCAGCAGGGCCTTTCTTATTAAGGATACACTGTTTCGCACATGTGAGTGCATTCGGCAGGGGTTCATCGGATTCTTCAATAAACATGAGAATTTTGCGACCGGTTCAAAACAAGGGGCTGGTAAAGCCTGCAATTCGAGCGTCCGCCAGCCATCCAGGCCAGGAGCGGCATGGCACTTTCGTCGGTGGATGGTCTCAAAAAGCTGCTTCCCTTGAATCGGTGGAAGGTCACACTGATGAATTTGGTTCTGGATACAAGGCCACACAGTTTCGAGGATCTTGAGCGGTTGTTCGTATCCCACATTGGCCGAGTAAACCGTGTCCCAAGCACGATTAATCTGGTCAAGGGCTAAATTCGGCTGGTAAATGATTTGGCCAGCATCGGACCAAATTGGGGGGTTCATCCTGAGCACAGTTACGGAGGTGCTTGTAGATGAAGTGACAGTTACCCCTGGCTGATTCCTTGATTCTATTTTTCCAATTCTTCAAGCGGTTCACTCGGATTTGGGAATCAAGGAGTGATGCTGCAGCTTCTGCCCACTTTCGAGCAAGAAATACCTCCGCAAGAGTCGGAAAGGTTGGATGCGACCAAACAATCAGAGCTTGATGTTGTCTCAAACTTTTGAAGGCGCGGTAGGCAGTTTGTTTTGTGTCAAACCGGTCTGACTTCCAGGGGGTCGTGACAGACGACAAAACAGTTCCTGCAGTCGGCCAACAAGCTTGTACAGGGCAGTAGACTTCTTGGTGGCAGCACAGAAATTACGATGCTGCTTCGGGACAACCCGTTTCGAGATGAAAACCGGGGGTTCACCTCTGGTTTGGGGTCCTTTCCCCCATTTGGCACCTTCGGACTTCAAGGATTGAACAAGAAACTCATTAATGATAGACCACTTGGATTCGCTGTCATTACACCCATCAAATCTGGCAGAGAACTGTGGCCAGCAAGAACTCACATCATCATGCCAAGTGGAGGTCTTGAGGGTCTCCGGCAGGAAGGGTGCACTTTTAAACAAGGTGTAAACCACTTGTTGGATGGAGCGCCACTGAAACATCAACTTGATCGGGCGATGCTGCTTACCGATTACAGGCACAACCTCTGCCGATTTGAGAGCGAAAAAGGCAGAACTGTTAACGAGAACGGCATCGATGGACGAAGTGGCATCGTCGCTTCCAGAAAACGTTCCATCACGAGAAAAGGTCAGGGGTCTTGTGGTGTGCCCGGTGCCATCCACAACCTGGATTGGGTCAAACCAGCCATGAAATGCAACACAGTTTGCAATACTCGAGTAGCTAGAGGGTTCGGCTTGGAGATCCCCAGCAACAATAATAGGTATGGGGCCAAACTGCGCAACAAAACTGAAGATGTCCGAAAACATCTGGTCGTTTTTTGGCGTGGATGGTTTGGTCTTGTGAGGCGCCGGCGCAGGCATAAATGGAAATGACCAAGGCCCTGCTGGAGGGGGAAATCTGGATCCATGCCGCATTGAACCTCTGAGTACGAAACAAGGAGGCAAACAACCCCGTTTGGTCATGAGCAGGTTCAAAAGGTTGGATGATGGAGTCAGGGGCAATGATGGCTGTGCCACCACACGGTGTGATGGATCCTGATTTATGCCACTTCACCGGAAGTGGGTCACTGGTGGTAATTCGTTGGCCCAATGCCTTAACAGCATTCTGAGTAGAACGGAGGTTGGCCTTGCCAATTCGGGTTTCCTGCAGGCAGCAAACATCTGCATTCCATGTTTTCCATGATGTGTTAGTACGAAAGGAACCTATGTTGGCCGAAAGGAGCGTCATGCTGTTATCTGCATCATCGATAGGCCCCTCCCCGGCCCCTCCCTGGATAACCTAAGGTGCGGTCAAAGGCGAACTGAGTGAAAGCTGGCTGAAGCACAGCAGCTGACATTTTCGTCTCGCCAAAACTGAAAGCTGGAAGTCGCCCAGCTCTGGTCGCTAGAACCCATGAATTGAGGCTGCTGTAAGCCATGGCAGGAACCAAAACACAGATCGTCCATGTAGTAGAGACAGGGACAGCACAAACGAAAAGAGGCCACGGCGTTGGCCCAGCAGAGGCAAAAGATTAACCGGAAATGAGGGCGAAAGGGATCACATGTCGTATCCCGATGGCGAAAGCACCAACGAAGACCTCGAAATCCAAAGCGCATGCTCTGAAAGAGAATGCGGACCCCAGGAGAACAGGCCCGGTGAAGCTGGGCCTCCACAAACGAGACACAGAGAACAAAGACGAGACAAGGTGAAAGACAAGGAAGACCGAAACAGCCAGATGGCAAATCAAACCGTCGGCTAGCAGGCACAAATCGCGAAGGTGGAGGCAGTCCAGCCCCACCCAAAGGCATCATGAGCCTTGATGGGCCTTCGAAGGCGGCGATTCGCCGCTTGGCTCACGGGCACGTGGGTTCGCGTTTGCCAGGAGCTGGCGCAAGGCATCACTGATACTATCAAACTTGCTGTCAACCTTGCCTTCAAACTGCTGCTGGCGGCTTTCGAGGCGATCAAACCGAGCCTCAAGATTGTCAAGGCGTGCATCGTCCGCCGAAGCCTTTGGGGGCAAGAGGTGTCCAGCCCACGCAGAAGGCTCCTGAGCCTGACGCTGCTTCTTACTCTTGCCGGCCCCTTTGGAACCTTGCTTGGGAGCACCCTTGGATCCTTGACCCGAAGCAAGCTGCTGGATGAGAATCTGGTGAACATGACCATTGATTTCAATGGAGAATTGCTCGGCAGAAATCTCCTTTTCACATGCAACGATCCACACATGGACACCTGCATTGCGGAAAGTCCTCATTGGCAACACGGCAGCACCAGTCGAATCCAAGGTCGAACGGACGATGTTGGCTGCATCAGTTCCAGCCGGCCAGCCGGCGAGTTCATAGGTCAAACGGGGGATCACATGCCGGTTGGCATCAACAATGCGGCCGTCAGCTGCAAGCAGAGTCTTCCGAGCCTCGCTCAATTTGGAGATCCAAACACGTGGCGCGAGTCCGCGTCTTGCAACAATGACGC